AGTCGCTGTGTAGTGATGGACTCACCTATTCCCTTGTGCTGGATCAGGAGTGGAAGCCAAGTACAGCTCTGAAAAGAGCTAAGTGATTAAGCTGCATAGATTCCCCTTTCAAGAACAAGACGAGGCTACGTTTTGAAGGGTCAAGAAGAACTGAGGGTTTATTGACAGACACTCTCTTTTATGCGATTCTGCCCATGCAAGGGAGACACCCACATAATTAGCAGTATAACCAATCAATACAATATACATTCTGTACATCCCCTCCCCTTAGATAACTAAATAACACAATTAAAAAGGAACATATTTTTCCCAAAGTTCGGATGTACCCCAAATACTTGGTATCCCCAGATAGCTTGATAGCTTGGGTGGGGGACCTAACATATTTAAAAATCAACCCATTCGGTTCAGCCGGCCATCCGTATGCCATCCTGGGTTCGCTGAAATCCCCATCTGTTGCTGATTCTTTCTACCGAATGCCTGGTCGTTCTGTAGTTTTGGCAAGGTTTTCCCGAAGGTATGGAGGTCTCAGCGGTGTTCGCCTATTTGAGTGTCCGATTTTAGTTCCAGACACTCGACGGCAAACACCGCTGTTCGGGAGTTAAAATGGCCATGAACAAGTGGAAGTCCCGAAATGGCGGCTGGGCTTGCAGCTCTCATGGCGTTCGTGCGACAAAAAGTGCCCATCATGCAGGAAGCTAAATTAGTCTCAATTAACAGTCAGGGTGGCCTGTTAGAGGTAGGTAAGCATTCGCATGGAGAATGCTTGCAAAGTACCGAACTGCATTGTAATCCATAGGTCTTTTCTAGGCAAACTGTGCTTTTTGTTACAGATGGGTTTTAAGGCACTTTTTAAACGATTGAAGATTAGGGGAGAGTCTGATGGTGGTAGGCAGGCTATTTCAAAGGAAGGAAGCCACCCGCAAGAAGTCCTACAGGAGTGAGTTGGCCGTACAGGTGCAAGCAGCGGACAGGAGAAGGTTATGGGCAGAGCGAGAGAGATAGAGAAAGGGCATACTTATGGATCAATGAAAAGATATAGGAGGGGCTAAACTTGTTCAGTGCTTTATAAGTGTGGATTAGTACTATGAATTGACTTCTATAGGGTGAGGTGTGAGAGGAGTGACTAGAGAGGAAAATCAGTCTGGGGCAGCATTCATTAAAGAGTGTGGTGGGGCAATATGGCTTCTGAGAAGACAAATTAGGAGAACGTTACAATAATCCAAGCATGGACAAGCTTCTTAGTAATATCTTGCATGAGAAAGGGGCGGATACGGGCAATGTTTTTAAGGTGGAATCAACAAGATTTGGTGACAGACTGGATCTTAGGCTCAAAGGTAAGGTCAGACTCAAGGATGACACCAAGACAGCGCGCTTGCAAGGATGAGATAATGTGAATACTTCTAACATGAAAGGAGATCGAAAGAGGTGGATCGGTATTAGGAGGAGGGAAGACAAGAAGCTCAGTTTTATAGAGATTGAGTTTCAGAAAGTGGGAGGACATCCAGTCAGAGATGGAATAAAGGCAATTAGTTACACGTTGTAGGACAGCAGGGGAGAGATCAGGGGAGGAGTGATATATCTGGGTGTCATCAGCGTACAGGTGGTAGCAGAATCCAAATGAATTTAATGAGTTTGCCAAGAGAGACAGTGTGGAGAGAGAACAAAACGGGACCAAGAACCGAACCTAGAAGTACTCCGACTGACACAGGATGAGAAGAGGAGGTGTCATTGGTAAAGGAGACACTGAATATATATATATATATATATATATTACAGATAGATAGATAGGTAGGTAGATAGATAGATAGATATATAGATAGATAGATAAAACAAATGTAAAATGATTATAAAAAGGTGACCCTACCACAGTTGACATAGGTGAAAATGTTAATCAAAGTACAAAATAATAATAAGTGTACAAAAAGTGTGTTATGGGAACAGTGACATATCAGAAAATATACATAGGGAATGGGTACGATGTTAAACGTGCATCCATTTTTAGTTATTTTTGTTTTGATTTCACTTCCACTAACATGGGAAAGCTTCAATTATAGTACCGGGATAGAAATGTTAGCTAGTGTAGTCTAACACTACTATGGGTCACTGACTGATTAGCATTTTAGCAGGTCACTGCCTTATATACTGTTATGTTTGCCTCTTAACACTTAGTTATTAAGCACCCCTGCTTAGATATGCATGTTCCAGGCATGCCATAATTCCCTCTTTTTGTTTTCTAAACTTTGTTCCACGCTGCCTTATGCATTTGTCATCAGACATAATCAGCTTCTTCCCTTGTAATAGCTGCGAGCACACCTTGAAGGATAAACCGGTATGCCCCTCCCTCCTTCCTGCAATCCCTCTTAGCCTTCACTGCCCCTACATTGTCTACATTAGACTTTTTTTTTTTTTTTTAATGTCCTTGTCCATACCACATTCCTTCCATCCCCTCCTGAGCTCAGAGTGTATACATGTGCTCTGTGCCTGGAGATCAGTCCAATCAAATGCTTCTCGCCGTGCATATGTCAACCCGCCTGACTTTGGTTATGGTTAGGTTTACAGGCATCATATACGTTTTTCTGGTGCTGATGTCACACTGGAAGAAGAGTCGAGAAGGCATAGACCAGGTGTACCGAAAAGGTAGATCCTCAGATGTTTTATAACTACAGCTTCCATGATGCTTTTTAATTCTAAAGACATTCTAAAGACATACAAAGTATTAGACATGTACAATTCATTTCAGGCCGAATATGAATTCGGACGAATTTCGGGAAATTCGGGTACTTCCGAATGTCCGAATAGCCAAAGTGCCGAATTACCGAGGTCCCGAAGTTCCAAAATTACAGAATTTCCGAAGTGTCGAAGTGCCGAAGTTCTGAAGTGCCGAAGTTGTCGAAGTTCCGAAGTGCTGAATTGCCGAAGTTCCGAAGCACAGTATTGCCTAAGTACTAATATACTTACCCAGTGGAAGAAGAATGTTACACTGTATACAATTTTAAATAAAAAGTATACAAACATAGCCAGGATTCAGCTGTAAGCATTTGCAACACTTACAACAATCAAGTAACATACATTCATATAAAATGTACGTTACTTGGCCAGTCAGTGTAATGACAGGAATTAATAAGTAGATAACTCCCTAATTCCCATGGTATTAAGGAGCTAGCTACTAAAAGGCTGAAAGACCTGAATTGGTCTTTCAGCCAAAATTACTAATACTAGTAAATATTACTTAGTATTAGTAAATTATGCCCCTGTGGCTGCTCACTGTAAAAAAATAAAAAAATAAAAAAGGTCCCCCCTCCCCCTCCTAACCTGAAGGGGGGGACCTATTGCCCCCCCCAGCCCCCACCCCTGAACGGCGGGTGGGGGCCCTAATGTAAAATAAGGGAGGGACCTATTGTCCTCCCCCTGGCCCCCACCCATGAGCGGCGGGTGGGGGCACTAAAGTAAAGTAATGGGGGGGACCTAATGGCCCACACCCCTGAGCGGTGGGTGGGGGACCTAAATACTAATTGGGGGGAACCTAATGTCCTCCCCCCTGGCCCCCACCCCGAGCGGTGGGTGAGGGCTCTAAATTAGAATGAGGGGGGAGGACCTATTGTAAAATAAGGGAGGGACCTATTGTCCTCCCCCTGGCCCCCACCCATGAGCGGCGGGTGGGGGAACTAAAGTAAAGTAATGGGGGGGACCTAATGTCCTCACCCCTGGCCCCCACCCTTGAGCAGTGGGTGAGGGCCCTAAAATACTAATTGGGGGGGACCTAATGTCCTCCCCCCTAGCCCCCACCCTTGAGCAGTGGGTGGGGGCCCTAAAATACTGATTAGGGGGGACCTAATGTCCTCCCCCCTGGCCTCCACCCCTGAGCATGGGGGCCGGGGGGGAGGACAATAGGTCCCCCCCATTATTTTTATTTAGGTCCCCCCCATTATTTTACTTTAGGGCCCCCACCTGCCGCTCAGGGGTGGTGTCCGTGGGGGACAATAGCCCCCCCATTAGTTTAAAAGCCCCCACTTGCACGTCGCGGGTGGGGGCTCGGGAGGGGGGACCTAATAACCCCTGAGCGGTGGGTGAGGGCTCTAAATTAGAATGAGGGGGGAGGACCTAATGTCCTCACCCCTGGCCCCCACCCCTGAGAGGTGGGTGAGGGCCCTAAAATACTAATTGGGGGGGACCTAATGTCCTCCCCCCTAGCCCCCACCCTGAGTGGTGGGTGGGGCCCCTAATTAGAATGAGGGGGAGGACCTAATGTCCTCCCTCCTGGCCCACACCCCTGAGCGGTGGGTGGGGGACCTAAATACTAATTGGGGGGAACCTAATGTCCTCCCCCCTAGCCCCCACCCCTGAGCGGTGGGTGAGGGCTCTAAATTAGAATGAGGGGGAGGACCTAATGTCCTCCCCCCTGGCCCACACCCCTGAGCGGTGGGTGGGGGACCTAAATACTAATTGGGGGGAACCTCATGTCCTCACTCCTGGCCCCCACCCCTGAGAGGTGGGTGAGGGCCCTAAAATACTAATTGGGGGGGACCTTATGTCCTCCCCCCTAGCCCCCACCCCTGAGCGGTGGGTGAGGGCTCTAAATTAGAATGAGGGGGAGGACCTAATGTCCTCCCCCCTGGCCCACACCCCTGAGCGGTGGGTGGGGGACCTAAATACTAATTGGGGGGAACCTAATGTCCTCCCCCCTAGCCCCCACCCCTGAGCGGTGGGTGAGGGCTCTAAATTAGAATGAGGGGGAGGACGTAATGTCCTCCCCCCTGGCCCACATCCCTGAGCGGTGGGTGGGGGACCTAAATACTAATTGGGGGGAACCTCATGTCCTCACCCCTGGCCCCCACCCCTGAGAGGTGGGTGAGGGCCCTAAAATACTAATTGGGGGGGACCTTATGTCCTCCCCCCTAGCCCCCACCCCTGAGCGGTGGGTGGGTCGCCTAATTAGAATGAGACCTAATGTCCTCCCCCCTGGCCCCAACCCTTGAGCAGTGGGTGGGGGCCCTAAAATACTAATTAGGGGGGGGACCTAATGTCCTTCCCCCTGGCCCCCACCCCTGAGCGTGGGGGTAGGGGTGGGGGCCGGGGGGAGGACAATAGGTCTCCCCCATTATTTTTATTTAGGTTCCCTCCCGCCTCACCTTTAACATTCCTGTGACTGAAAGGCTGAAAGACCACAAGCGAAGCACTTTTCTTTCGTAGTAATAAAAAGGAAACATCTTTGTGGGCAGGGCATGGTTGAGGAGTAAGCTGAACACCAGTGAAATGAGGGAGGAAATAGCACAAAGTAGGTAAGAGTTTATCAGAAATTGGCAGTTCCAAAAGTTGACTGGTTTGTCAGAACATAGGCAAAGTTGCTGCTGAATGTTTCTTTCCTCATGAAAAAAAATGAATGAAATAAAAAAACTAGACATTAAGTGGCACAAAGTCAGTCAATATTTTAGCTGTATGGAAACAAATAAGTGCAATGAGAACATAATTAACCCCTTAAGGACGGAGCCAAATGTACACGTTGTGAACAAAACAAAATGTAAACAAAACCTGGCATTTGCGCTACATGTCTGTCCAACCGTAATACACCTCTTTCATAGTAAATGCACCCACCCTTATTATATATCATTTTATTCAGGGGAAACAGGGCTTTCATTTAATATCAAATATTTAGCTATGAAACATAATTTAATGTGAAAAAAATGGGAGAAAATACGATTTATTTGGATTTTTTTAGTTCTACATGACATTTTAACGGTCAGTGTCATAATACTGTTTGCTTTTACTACAATAAAATACACATATTTGTATTCAGCAAAGTCTCACGTGTAAAACAGTACCCCCTATGTACAGGTTTTATGGCGTTTTGGGAAGTTACAGGGTCAAATATAGCGCGTTACATTTGAAATTGAAATTCGCCAGATTGGTTACGTTGCCTTTGAGACTGTATAGTAGCCCGGGAATGAAATTTACACCCATAATGGCATACCATTTACAATAGTAGACAACCCAAGGTATTGCAAATGGGGTATGTCCAGTCTTTTTTAGTAGCCATTTGGTCACAAACACTGGCCAAAGTTAGCGTTAGTATTTGTTTGTGTGAAAAATGCAAAAAACGCCAATTTTGGCCAGTGTTTGTGACTAAGTGGCTACTAAAAAAGACTGGACATACCCCGTTTGCAATACCTTGGGTTGTCTACTATTGCAAATGGTATGCCATCATAGGGGTAATTTTCATTCTTGGGCTACCATAGGATCTCAAAGGCAGCGTACCAATCTGGCGAATTTTAATGTGAAAAAAATGAAACGCAAGCCTTATATTTGACGCTGTAACTTTTGAAAACACTATAAAACCTGTACATGAGGGGTACTGTTGTACTCGGGAGACTTCACTGAACACAAATATTTGTGTTTCAAAACAGTAAAAGTATCATAGCAATAATATTGTCCGTTTAATGCTGTTTGTGCGTGAAAAATGCAAAAAACGTCACTTTTACTGGCGATATCATCGTTGTAATACATTTTACTGTTTTGAAACACTAATATTTGTGTTCAGCGAAGTCTCCTGAGTAGAACAGTACCCCCCATGTACAGGTTTTATGGTGTCTCGGAAAGTTATAGGGTTAAATATAGTGCTAGCAAATTAAATTCCCTTTACTTTCGGCATGGGTTGTCATGCAGGTCCTGCTAATTGTAATTAATTAAGATACCTAATTATGTAAAATATTACATAAATATATATGTAGAATCAATATATGTATATATATACGTATGTGTATATATATGTATATATCTATATAATTTTTTTAAAATATTTTTATTTATATATAGGTATATATATAGTGATATATACGTATATATTTATGTGTATAAATATATATATTATTTCGTTCTATGTGTATTTTGATATATATATATATATTAATTTCACAATACAGTTAGAACGAAATAACACACATCTATATATTTTTTAATTATTTATTTTTAATTATTTTTGTAATTTTATTTTTTAACGTATTTACATTTTAATTTTTTTTATAATATATATAAATATATATATAACAATAATTATATATATATTTAATCAGTATCAGTCTACGTGTAATTTGATATTATATATATATATAATTATATATATATTAATAGTAAAATACACCTAGACGGTGTACATGTGTGTATGTATATGTGTATATATATACTTTGATCATATATATATATATATATATATATGATCTAAGTATATATAATTTTATTTTTTTACACTTTTAACTTATTTTACTTTTATTTTCAGCCAGCAGGGGGACCCCCTGTAATTACAGGCAGCCCCCCTGCTGGCAATACAGAAGCCAGCTATACCCGGCCATGTGATTGTGGGGTCCTCGCTAGGACCCCACTCTCACACGGCCGGGGGGCTTCCTGGAGGACGGTCGTGCCGCGGGGGGCTCCCTGGGAGTCCCCCCCACCGCGATCGCCGGCGTGGGACCGCCGGCGACCGGGTAAGTACAGAAAGACCGGAGGGCGTACTATTACGCCCGGCGGCGTTTAGAGCCGCCTATTAGAGGACGTAATAGTACGCCCTGCGGTCTTAAGGGGTTAACAAAATTGTATTCCTAGCCTACAGTACCCCCTTGGCTCATGCTTCCCACCCCTCAGCGCAGAAAGGGTTAAAACCCCTTTTGTCACTTACTTGAATCCAGCTGGGTCAGGCTTAGATTTCAACATCCCCCCGAGTGCAGCAATGGTATTAGGACAGTCCTATAGGAAAGTATTGAGTAAATACTTTCCTATGGGGTTTTCGCAGATGCTGGATGTCCTCATGCATAGCGTGAGGACGTCCAGCGTCAGTTAGGTGGCCAGAAGTCGCCTAACAACCTGGAAGTGCCTCTAGTGGCTCCACTACAGATGTAGTTAACCCTGCAAGGTAATTATTGCAGTTTCTCAATAACTGCATAATACCATTATAATAATTACCATTGCAGGAACAGGGACAGTGCACCCCAACAACTTCAATGGGCTAAAGTGGTCTAGATGCCTATAGGGTCCTTTCAACAAAATATTACACACCGTATGTCAAATCAAAAATTGATCCAATAGTTCTTCATTATTGTAGAGACACATAAGTAAATAAATATTATTATAATGTAAAATAAAACAGTACACATAAAAAAAATGTGTACAACTTATAATAAAAATCTCCAAATATCCCTCTTTGGCCCCTTCTGGCCCTCTGGGTAGATGCTAGAAAGGAAATCCACTCTATGGTTTGTGGATTAAGTAAAGATTAACAGGATCTAAAATCTGCCTGTGAGCAGTGTAGCTGTATTGATTAGAGACACTTTTTAAAGACTCTCCCTGAATAAGTCATTACACGTGTAAATCCAGTATTTAGTGATGCACACTAAGAAAACGAATCAGTATTACTTCGAAGGACAATAGTATAAACTGTGTCTACGTCACTTTTACATGCTTTTACATGATTAAGAGCTTCTAGGCCAAAAATTTGTATATGTTTTTAAATTGACACTTATGGAGATTTACACTACCTTGGCATATGAATATATACGTTATTATACACTGATAAAACTGTTTGGAGTTCATTTAATTTTTTGCTGTATACAAATTTTTTGTCTTTTCGATCTCCGCACTTGTAGTTAGGCTGCACTTGGTCTGTGGTCTATGGAGCTTGCAATCAGACCTTTCTCCTCAATGAAGGATCAAGATAGATTCATGATAGAGCTGATCTTATTTTCAGCATCTACCCAGGGTCGCAGAATGGGTCAAAGAACATTATATGAGCAGTCATTACTTAAAGTTTATTTTAAAAAAATAGTATTTCACTATTTGTGTGTAATTTTATTTTGTGGTGTATGATTTACCATTTGGTATGTAATACTATCTTAAATGTGTTACATTTGCATATTGCACTTATACTATACTGCATGCAACTGAAATTTAGCCATCATAGAGACACAGATGAGGCTTCTGCTAATCAGAAGATCCACAGATTAATGGCAAATAACAAACTCCTGTAAAAAAAATGAAGGTTTTATTGAATACCTTCTTTCTTTGTGAAACATTTATAAAAAAATTATATTCTGACCAAATTGTATAAAAATTTCATGCATAAAAAACGTGCTTGCTAGGCTGTTATGGGCTCCCTGTTGTCTACCTTTATAAAGTCCTTTCTATGCTATTAATTCTTAATAGGAGACCTGACCAGGTCTCTTTTGTTACATGCTAAGCAGTGGTGGAACTACTGCTGGTGCGACTGCACCGGGAAATGCACATTAAGAGGCCCAACATGGGGGCCCATGATCTTAGGGTCACCTGGTGGGCATTTGTCAGCAGGGGCCGATCTTTAACAGCGCAACCAAATGCCTTTTTATCGGCAGTGGTGGAAGGAAGTGAAAGCCGGTCAGCTCCTGTCAGAGAGACTAGATATGTGTGGGGGAGAGGAGCAGAAAGTGGAGGGGGGAGGAAGGAGAGAGAGACAGCCTCAGCCAACACACCGGACCCCAGGTAAGCCAACCTCCTGCACTCAAAAGGTAGGAAACTGGGTAGCAGGGCTAAGCTGCTGAACAAAACAGATGCATGTCAGATGAGCTCCGTTTCTTACCACTGTATTTTGGAGATTTCTAGCCCTTTTTCACCACTTACAAACCGGACTACAGGCGTCATGGGATGCAAGCTGAAAAAACAAAAGTCCGACAAACCCAAAGCGGGCATGAACATAGAAGACTTCCTTAGGCAAGCACATGAGCATGCAGGCCCAAGATGGCCACCGACATAGACGGGTTCTCTGACTCCTCGGAGGAGTCGATACTGGGGATGGGAGCCGCTAATCTACCTCCCCTTCCACTGCCCCAGATGGCCCCATGGAATGCCGACTCGACTCCAGTGACCAATGCCACTCTGAATTAGTTATTGCACAGCCTCCAGCTCACCTTGCAGGCTGACATGGCCTCACTCCGGGCTGATCTAACTGGCTTGAGCCGACTGGGGACAGTGGACACGAGCGGCAGAACAGGCCCAGACACTTACCACTCTCTCCAACGAGGCAGAACTCCCGCACTTATTGAGGAGGCTTATAGGATTTCTCCTAACGACTAAACAAGCTAAA